CAATTAGACCAGAAGAAGTAGTTATTACAAATGAGAAGATGGTCGTTGAGGCTAATATAATTTATAATCCCCCCAATGAAGTTTATTTATTGGAATTGTCATGGAGTAGGTAACAAAAATTTCATCAGGCATTGTAGAGAGTTGATTCGGGATGAAAACCCAACCATTATTTGTCTCCTTGAAACAAAAGCTAAGAAAGGTGCTGGCCGTGTGTTACAGAAAAAATTGAATTTCGACAACCACTATGAGGTCCCCTCTCAAGGTTTTCGGGGAGGTTTGATCTTACTCTGGAATTCTAACTCGCAAAATGTTTCCATTAGGTACCAAACAGATCAGGTTATCCATTGTGAAATTAAAGAGAACGATAAAAGATGGTTGCTCTCCACTATTTATATCCAACCTCATTCAACCAAAAAGGACGAAGCATGGGATAATATCTACGATTATTCTACAAGCGTTGATCTGCCTTGGATGATTGTGAGTGATTTTAATGATTTTGCTTCACTTGATGAATGTGTTGGCAGCAGCTTCGATTGCATGGACCTTATCATCAAGTTTCACGAACGCTGGAATAGGTGCAATCTAATGGATGCTGGCTATGTTGGTAGTAAGTTTACATGGGCTAGACACTCCCAGGGAAGAGTCACTCTTCAGGAAAGGCTCGACAGGTTACTGCACAATATTGAGTTGGTTGATTGTTTTCCTAATTTAAGAGTGGTTACCTTAACTAGAACGTATTTTGACCATAACCCGATTCTGGTTAACACAGATTTAGAACTGCCAGTCGATAAAGAGAAACGACCATTTAGATTCGAAGCAGCTTGGATGATGCATGATGATTTTAACAGGATTTTTAGTTCAGCATGGGATAAAAAGAAAAATTCTCTTGTGGATGCGGTGGAAGAGACTAAGAGAGCTCTTATAGAATGGAAGGAGAGTACTTTTGGGAACATATTCAAACGTAAGAAAATTCTGATGAAACAACTTCAAGGCATCCAGAGATCCACACATTATTTTCATTCGAATTACCTTCAGGAATTGGAGAAGACCCTGGAAGCTGACTATCAACAAGTGTTGGAGCAGGAGGAAATCTTTTGGCTTCAGAAATCAAGACTGGACTGGATTGTGAAAGGAGAAAGGAACACAAAGTTCTTTCCTCTAACTACGATGATAAGGCGCAAATTTAATAAAATAGTTGGCATGTACATTGAGAATGTTTGGGTTACGGGAAAACAAGACCTTTGTCAACATGTTTACAATTATTACAAGGAGTTGTTTGCTGGAAAAGAATACATACAATTGTCTTGAGATTATGATAGCTTCATACCAAGATTGATGGAAGAAGAAAAAATCGAGCTAACGAAGCAAGTCACTATGGAGGAAGTGAAAGAAACTTTGTTTTCCATGAAAGGTCTTAAAGCCCCGGGTCCGGACGGCATTCAACCAATCTTTTATAAACAAAATTGGGAGACTGTTAGAAATACTCTTCTTGATTTTGTGAATAAGACCTTGGAATCGAGGAAAATGGAGGGGAAAATATTAAGAACGTTCCTGGTGCTTATACCGAAAATTGCTGCAGCAAATAATATCACTCAATTTCGGCCAATCAGCTTACTGAACACATCATACAAAATCTTCTCCAAAATCATTGCCCGTTGGTTGTCCTATGCTGCAAAGGTTGATAGGTTCTTATCAGAACAGTTTCCTTAAAGGTAGAAGTACCTCGGATAATATTTTGATCGTCCAGGAAGCAGTTCATTCGATGATGAAACTCAAAGGAAGGAAGGGTGCAGTGATTGCTAAAATAGACCTTCAGAAAGCCTTTGATAATGTTAACTGGGAATTTCTTAAGAAAACCCTCCAAGACTTTAATTTTCCTGAGAGTTTGGTTGAGACTATAATGTTCTGCATTACTTCCTGTACAATTGAACCGTTGTGGAATGGGGAAATCACCGAGAGTTTGAATCCAAAGCAAGGTCTACGTCAAGGCGATCCGCTATCACCGTACTTGTTCATATTAGTTACGGAAAGACTTTCCCACATTATCATGGAGAAAGAAGAAAAGGGTACATGGAAACCGTTTAAGAGCTCGAGGGGTGGAATTAAATTAAGCCATTTATTCTTTGCGGACGATCTCTTACTGTTTATAGAAGCAGATTCAAATCAAATACAAAACATGAGAAGTTGCCTAAATAAATTTAGCCGTGCAGCTGGAGTTGAGGTAAATCTTCTGAAATCAAAATTATTTATCTCCCCAAATATTAACTCTAACACAGCTCATTACTTAAGTAATTTGTGTGGCATCCCTCTTACGGATAACTTGGGAACTTACTTGGGAGTTCCTATCATCCACAAAAGGGTTAATTCAGGAACCTATGGTCCTTTCATTGAGAAAATCATTAAAAGACTGGCAGGCTGGAAAGGAAGAGTTCTATCCATGGCGGGTAGAAGAACACTTATTCAATCCGTCTCCAGTGCTGTGCCATTACACACGATGCAGACATCCGTGCTTCCTATTTCGGTCTGTAAAAAGCTGGATAGCCTAAATTGTAACTTTTTGTGGGGAGGAGACACAGTGTATGCTCATAATCATCTGGTTAGCTGGGATAAAGTTTTTCGATAAAAAAAGATGGGAAGATTAAGAATTCGTAAATCAAGATTAATGAACATCGCTCTTATGACAAAGAACAGTTGGAAACTCCTCACTAGACAAGAAAATCTCTGGTGTAAAGTGTTTACCGGGAAGTATCTTAAAAATAAGGAATTCTTGGAGGTAGACTCAAGTGGAAACAACTCTTCCACTTGGAGGGGCTTGCTACGAACTCGGAACTTAATTAAACAAGGGAGAAAATGGCAGATAAAATCAGGTATTCAAGAAAAATTCTGGCAGGACTGGTGGTTAGGAAAAGAACCACTGAAAAATTCATATCCTTTAATGGACAATCCAAGCAGAAATGAAGAGGTGGCCAGATATATTGATGAAGATAGAACTTGGAATATCCGAGAAATCCAGTATCAAATCTCTGAAGAAACAAGGAGGGAAATCCAAAGAGTTTCGATTCCAGTCCTAACCGATCCGCATGAACGAGATGAAATTACTTGAGGCTTCTCCAAGGATGGGCAATTTACGGTGAGTTCAGCTTACCACTCAATTTCTAATATGGAGATGGGTGGTGAACATGGGGAAAATCTTGAGTGGGTATGGAAAACTAAAATCACCGAATGAATCAGGTTCTTTATTTGGTTGTCATACCTAGACAAACTTAACACAAATGAGGTTAGGTGCAGGAAGAACATGACACAGTATGCGGACTGCAAAAGTTGTTGAAATGTAACAGAATCAATCGTCATATTTTTCGAATGTGTAACATTGCTAAATTTGTTTGGGAAGAATTAAATGCTACGGAACAGGACAGCCGATTCACTTCGATGGATTTCAAGAATTGGCTGAAATCAAACTGTCTTTCTAAGAAAGTCGGACTCGATGGATTAGAATGGGGACTTTTGTTCATGGCTACTATTTGGGGACTGTGAAAGAGCAGGAATGAAATGATCTTTAAAGAAACATCAATGGATCCCTCTCAAGTGATTACCTATGCCAAACGGCTTGCAATGGATGTAGATAAAGCCCTGTTAAACTCACATAGCAGGATGTTTAATGATCCTTGTTGGGTTAAATGGAAAAAACCTCCTGAAGGGGGTTGGATTCTAAATACTGATGGTGTGTATAAAATGAATTCTGGCCTGGCGGCTGCAGGTGGTCTGATCCGAGATAGCAATGGGGACTGGAAAGCGGGATTCATGCTTAGACTAGGGAGGGTTAATAGCTCGCTCGCTGAAATTTGGGGGGCTCGGCAGGGTCTCTTGTTAGCGAAAAGTCTAGGGCTTAGAAACCTAATCCTAGAGATGGATGCAAAATGGATTGTGGACCTCTTTAATGGAGACAAAATGGTTGACGCCTCTGAAACTGATTTGGTAAATGATTATTTAGACATCCTTAAGGAAGGATGGGTGGTTGAAGTTCGGCACATCTGGCGTGAAGGAAACAAATGCGCCGATAAACTTGCGAATCTCGCACTTCTACAAGGAGATGATTCCGCTATTCTAAAGTTGCCTCCACCTGAAATTCAGGCGTTGTTGGGAGCGGATAAGAACAAGGAGCACCAGCTGAGACACTAGTTTACTGCTTTGTTCAAGTGTACCAAAAAAAAAATTCTAATTAAAACGAGAAGCCCTAGCCTTCCACAACTACTACACGCAAAAAGCCTAGAACTTTCCAGCTCTCCAAGTTAATTAACCCCCCCCACTCCCCAAAATAAAAAATAAAAAAATAAAAAATTAGGGTTTAGCCAAAGTTAACACTTTCATTCTTTTTCCTAAAATTAAAATTAAGTTTTATTTCGCTTCGGGTGAAACATAGGGGTGTGCAAATCCGGGTACCCGATTTCCGGGTACTCAGAACTTCCGGGTCGACGATTTCTCGGCCCGTGTCCCGACCCGGATGTTACGGGTACCCGGTAATTGGGTACCCGGATTTTGCGGGTACCCGGTAATCGGGTACCCGATACCCGGTTTTTAATTTTTTATTTTCAAATTATTAATTTAAAAAAATATATATACACAAATTTAAATATTCGAAATTTTGAATTACATACTCTAATATCCGAACATAAATTTAAAAGTTCGAAATACAAAATATAATAATCCATAATATAAATAATTCATTATATTTTATATAATTATATATAAAAAAATAAAAACTAACCGAGTATCCGAAAAACTAGATTTTGTGACCCGGGCTCGACCCGAGAAATGTCGGGCCGGGTACCCGACCCGGCCGGATAATTTTTTTTAAAAAATTACCTAATTTTTTTAGATCCGGGTCGGCGGATCGATGGATCGAGTCAACCGGATCGAGTAATTTTACACACCCATAGTGAAACAGACTGAGAAGGGGAGATTTCAAGTGTAGGTTAAGAGCCCTGAGAAGAAAAAGAAAAAAAAATGCGGGTAATTTGATTGAAAAGGTCGCAAATGTTTGGGTCTAAGGGCGTCAGGCTTATTCATTGCTTGATTCGCCACTCTCACTCTCTCTCTTCTACCCCTTTCCACCACCCAAATACTGTACGTTCTCTTTTATTTTAATTTTATTTTTATTCCTTTTTTAATTTTTTTTGGTCCGATAGTTTTCCATAAATAACACATTATTCAATTGTGAATACAGAAGACTCTAATTGCTGGGAGTTTGAGGAGCTTCACTGCCGGATTTGGCAGTCCTATTGGAAGTCACACTCCTCAATTCGTTCATTTACTCTTTATTTTCTTTTTGTTTGAAAATTCCCCCTTTTTTCCGTGTAATGAAATACATGCTTGTCAATGCAGCTAAAACTAGAAACTGCTTGGTTTTTGGACTTCTTAATCTGAATTTGGGTGCAAGACGGCCAATTCATGGCACTGGTATTGTACAAGTTCATCTTCCCCTTATATAAATATCTCAGGGATGCTTTATTGTTCTCTCTTTCATACTCTGTTCCTTATCTTCTGGGTTCAGCTCCTCTGTCTGCTAGGGATTATTATGATGTACTTGGTGTAAGCAAGAATGCTACTGCTTCTGAAATAAAGAAAGCTTATTTTGGGGTAATTTTTTTTCTGCATTTTATCTAGTTCTCTTTCTTTCAGCGTACAAGTGAATTTGAGTGTCTTTGTATTTGTTTGTACTCTGGGTGTTATTTCAGAATTCTATTATTTGTTTTTTTTTCGCTGAAAATTTCTGTGATTTGTCATCTTGCTTCTTGATTCAAATTTTCTTGTTTTTCTATAGCTTGCGAAAAAGCTCCATCCCGGTGTAAATAAAGATGATCCTGAAGCTGAGAAAAAATTTCAAGAAGTTTCCAAGGCCTATGAGGTAAGTTTTTCTCACTCGAGATTGTTGTCTTTTTCTTGGTTAATTTTTCTTGGGACTGAAGCCTGAAGGGAATCACATTTTGTTTGTTCTATTGTAGGTTTTAAAAGATGAGAACAAGCGTGCTGAGTATGATCAGGTGTGTTCTTCTCGTAAAACCTTCTTTTATTGTCAGATGGAGAATGTTTTCAATAACCTCTGTTATTTGTCAATGCATTAAGCGGGAGAAGGCAACATGACAAATGTCACTTTCCTGCTCAATTGATAAGCACCTTGTTGAGTTTATAGCTGCTAAGTGTTTCCTGAAAGGTTTATGTAATTTATTTTCAGCAATCTTTTTCCCTGCTGACCTTAGTTATGTGCAAAAATTTATTAGGTTGGCCATGATGCGTTTGAACAGCAGCGAAGTAATAGCGGCTTTACTGAAGAGGATTTTAATCCATTCAATTTTGCCAACTTTCAAGATGTGAGTTTCTTCTTTTAACATTATTGGTTGGTTTTGGTTACACATAGTCAAGTATACTTTTTAATTAGTGACTTAAGCTTCTTTTAGTGTTTTATCATGGATAATATTCCAGAACTGTGAGATAATAAGAAGCGTGATACCCCATCTTGTAGAAGAGATTACTAATGTTTTATGCAAGTTCAGTAGGCTATAAGGACGAGAGTGAGGCAGTTAAATAGCTTTTACTTTTTTTAGTTTTGTTGGGGTTCAAGTTTGGTACAATTAATATTTCCTAATGAAAAGACTCATGAACTGTAGTGCCATTGTATTACCTGATACTGTCAAGGTCAGTAAAGAAATAGACATAGGTGTGATACTTTTCTCACAGTGTTATTGAGATTTGAATCGTCAATGCCTGGTACTTGGTTGATTTTTTTACGCTTGGTTACGTGTGTATGTATTTGATTGGGTGATCACCACTCTTGTTGTTGGCATGATTTAGTGTTCCTTGTATGAGAATTTTGTTTTTTTGGAGGGGTGAACATGCTTATCTGTAGGTTTCTTTGTGCCTTTTATATTTTTTTGTTTTCAATTTAGTAACACGATGTTCTTTTATGCTTGACTAGATATTCAAAGCTCATGATATATTTAGAAATCAAATGGGCGGTGAAGATATCAAGGTTTTCATCATTTCGAACTTCATGTTAATAATTATGTTATTACTCTATTTTGTTCTTTTGAGTTGTCACTACTCACGAGCATTTACCATGCCCTAGGTTGCTATTGAATTATCATTTATGGAAGCTGTTCAAGGAATCACCAAAACAGTGACATTTCAAGCTCCAGTGCTTTGTCAAGCTTGTGGTATGCCTTATCTGTCTCTGAAACGATACCTTTTTCCCCTCATGTAATCTCTTTTGTCTTGCAAAATGTTCTGAGCTCCCGTAACTATTTCCTTTGTATATATTGGGTTTCTCTAGGCTCCATATGGTCATATCTTTAGTTTTTCCTTTTAGAAGGAAAAAAAATGCTCTTTTGAATGCTGAAGCAAACAATATATTTGAAAAGATTATGATAAAAAAAACCAAATATATAAACCTATCTTGAATTCTTGATATTTGGTCTCAAGTTATTTTCTTCATTTTTTCAGGTGGACAAGGTGTTCCACCTGGCGTGAAACCTGAAAGATGCCGGCACTGTGGAGGCTTAGGCATGGTTAGTTTACTGGAATAGAATCATGCAAGTCCTCAGAATTGTTGAGTTAATCTATGGTTTTGCTGTTGTCTCAGCTATCTATGAACAAGGGCTTTATGAGTATCCGTTCTACTTGTCCTCATTGTGGTGGAACTGGTCAGTTTGTATCGGTATGATATACATCCAACTTCTCTCACTTCTAATGAATTTCTTTGTGTTTTGATAGTGATCAGTTTGTTGTTGTTGTTTTTTTTATAGAAGATTAGGCCTCATTAAAAACCCCTTCATACCCTCCATGTTACATCAGTAACATGAAGGACATTGGAAGGAGGAAAAGAGTGCCTATGACTTTTATTAATTTGAACAATAATACACTACCAGTCCCAAACATCCTGCTGAAATACCATAACACTAATTACATAAGACTAAAAACAAACTCCCTACATAAATGGAAACATTTCCTACACCATAACACACCAAACACATAGCCTATTAATCAACCTATACCATCTAGGGATGGGCATTTAAACCCGACCCGATTGGGTCGGATTTTTCTAAAAAAAAATTCGGGTTTGGGTTCGGGCTGGGTCGGATTTTTTTAATGTGGTGTTCGGGTCGGGTTCTGGTTTAGGGTGAAAAAAATCCGACCCGACCCGAAAAAAAATATAATTTTACCCTATATATTTAGGGATAATTACAATAATACCCCTCTATATATAATTTTTTTCTCCAATTAAGTCACTGTTTTTATTGAATAAAAATAATTTTTTTATTATTTCGGGTCGGGTCGGATGAAACCTTGTTTTGCTCGGGTAGGGTCTCGGGTGGAGGCTCTCTTGTTCTCGGGTTGGGTGGACCAAAAACCCGACCCATGCCCATCCCTAATACCATCTTTAGCTAATTTGTCCGCTTCCCTGTTGGCAGCCCTCAAGATATGCCTTAAAGTAATATCCTTTACTTCCATTATAGAGACGATATCCTTCACCAAGGATTGAAACATAGGGGTGCATAAATTCGGATTCTTGATCCACTTCAGTGCATTACTTGAATCCGATTCTAGAATAATCCTCTGATTAAAAACAAATCCTAATTCATCCAGAAGACACAACCCCTCTTAATCGCCAATAATTCTGCCATAATAGGAGGTCCACCCCCAACTTTATCTGAGAACCACTGAAGCAACGCACCACTGCTGTCCCTAATCAGTCCACTTATACCACCTTTATCCTAGCCCTTCACCATCGCTCCATCAACATTAAGCTTTATGAACCCATCTGGAGGAGGAACCCAACAAGTTGGTTGAGAACTTCCTTTTTTCTGTCTTCCCACCGAATCAACAAGTTTTATATCACTCAATAGGGAGTCGAAAGGGATAAGCACATCGTTGAATCTAGCAGCAAACCAAGAAGCTGTTCTAAATCGAGCAATAAAGAAAATCACCACATCCACCTTTCTTTTCTCAAAGATAACCTCATTCCTGCATTTCCAAACCGTCCAAATCACCACCCTTAGAATAAATTTCCAAATACTGAAATTCGGAAGTAGATCATCCCACAAAATGATAAAATCGATGATGTTCTTTGGAATCACCAAAGAAACATTCCACAAATTCAAAAATCTAGACCACAGCCCCCATACTACCTCACAATGCAAAAAACGATGTGAAACTGTTTCCTCAAACCTGCCACACAGCGAACATAAGGGATCACGAATCCAACCACTCCTCTCTTCAACAATTCCTCCTTAACCGCCACTCTCTGATGTGCAACTTGCCAAACGAAAGTTTCGACACGGGGAGGTGTTAGCCCTACCCAAATATGTCTTTCCCAAGTATCATGATTCCCCTCAATACCCTCCTGATCAAGGAAATTCTTGATACATGATTTTGCAAAAAAACAACCTTTTCCATTCCTTAACCATATCCAACAGTCTTCCTCATAAAGTGACAGGGAGATATTATTCAACAAAGAAATCAGCTGTAGCCATTGTTCAACCTCTAAATTTTTCCTAATACAATCCCCAAACCCATCATTAGAAAAGAAATTTTTAATCACTCCTCTCCAAATCCAAGAGGCACGTGTTGTCCAAGTATTCCCCATCATTTTGGAATTCGGATCCAAGTTGTACACACAACATACCACCCTCTTCCACAAAGAATCTTTTCTGAGGCAAACTTCCATACCCATTTCCCTAGAAGAGCTCTGTTCAAAAGTAATAAATTCGGAATCCCTAGATCCCCCGACATTTTTGGCTTACTGACCAAATTCCAGTTCACCCAATGGATATTTCTTTTATCTGTCGAACCCCCCCATAAAAATGCAGCCATGATAGAATTTAATTTCTGCAACACAATACCTGGAATTCGAAAGATAGAAAGAAAATAAATGGGGAGAGAGCACAACACTGATTTGACCAACACCACCCTTCCTGCTAACGATAAAGAGGTTGCCTTCCAACCAATCAACTTATTATAAAATCTCTGCACGATTGGCTCCCACATTGGAACAAAATTTCTCTTGGTCCCCAAAGGTAAGCCTAAATACTCAGCTGGGAGATAATGCACTGAGCAGCCGATTTCCTTAGTCCAAGTAGCTAGCACCTCGTCCTCAACATTTATTCCATAAATTCTGCTCATACCCATTTCCCTAGAAGAGCTCTGTTCAAAAGTAATAAATTCGGGATCCCTAGATCCCCCCACATTTTTGGCTTACTGACCAAATTCCAGTTCACCCAATGGATATTTCTTTTATCTGTCGAACCCCCCATAAAAATGCAGCCATGATAGAATTTAATTTCTACAACACAGTACCTGGAATTCGAAAGATAGAAAGAAAATAAATGGGGAGAGCACAACACTGATTTGACCAACACCACCCTTCCTGCTAACGACAAAGAGTTTGCCTTCCAACCAATCAACTTATTATAAAATCTCTGCACGATTGGCTCCCACATTGGAACAGAATTTCTCTTGGTCCCCAAAGGTAAGCCTAAATACTCAGCTGGGAGATAATGCACTGAGCAGTCGATTTCCTTAGTCCAAGTAGCTAGCACCTCGTCCTCAACATTTATTCCATAAATTCTGCTCTTGACTAGATTTATCTTCAACCCCATCAATAACTCATAAATTAATAGCACCCTTCTAACATTCATCAAATCCCGAATTGAAGCTTTGCTAAAAATGTAAGGCCATCCGCAAATTGCAAATGTGATAACTTGAAAGAACGGTCTTGAACACCTAACTCGAAACCCGAAAACAGTCCCATATCCATTGCTTTAATTAACAACAAATGAAGCAACTTGCCACCCAAATTAAACAAGGGCGATAGCGAACAACCCTGTCTTAAACCTCTTGTGTGAAATTTCTCCGTAGGTGTCCCATTCACTAGAACCGAAATGGAAATTGTTGACATACATTGATACATCCATGAACTCCATTTATCATCAAACCTCATTTTACCCATTATTTTCATCAAAATGAACCAGTCAACCGAATCATAGGCTCTTTTAAAATCCACCTTAAAGACTATCCCCTTCAACCCTTTCTTCCTTCAAAAATCAATTCCTTCATTTGCTATAAACGAGCAGTCCAATATGTTCCTCCCCTGAATAAACGCGAATTGTGACGGACTTATTATCTCATTAATGCACAAACTCAACCTTCTAGCTAAGACCTTTGACAGAATTTTACATAACCCTCCAACAAGGCTAATTGGCCTAAAGTCTTCTAATCCCTCCAGATTATCCTTCTTAGGTATTAGGGAAATGAAAGAATGATTCACCTCCAAGTCCCACTCCTTCCCCACATAAAAATCCTTAAAAACCAGCATGATATCATCTTTCAAAATAGTCCAGAATTTCTTTAAAAACCCTAAGTTCAGACCATCCGGGCCAGGAGCTTTATTGCTATCCGAGTTAGCAATTGCTTACCAAATTTCCTCTTCCGAAAATGGCTTCTCAAGTGCTAAACTCTGCCCTTCCGATATTTTTAGAAATTCCGGACTTAATTCCTCAACCTCCAAGGTATTTTTTGATTAAACAATCCATTAAAGAACTCCACCACTAAAGCTTTAATAAAGCTAGGATCATCTATGACCTCATTATCCACTTTGAGGGACTTAATACCGTTTATCCTCCCTCTAACTGCAACACTATGATGGAAAAATCATGTGTTCTTATCTCCTTCCAAACTCCATTTCAGTCTTGACTTTTGTAACCAAATTGATTCTTTTTTCTTTTGTAGCTCCCATAATTCTTTCTTTGCTTCAACTAGTGATTTCATTGACACCGTGGAAAGACCTTGTTGCATTTCCATTTCCATGTCCTGAATTCCTTTCTCCAACGTTCTAATTTTTCCTAGCAGCTCTAAATAACTCCTCATAGACCATCTCTTTACCACATCCTTCACCCGCTTTAGCACCTTATACATGGGCTTCCTCTTTACAAAGTTTAACATGTTCCTTCTCCATCATCTAAATCCATCCTCCTCCAATACATAATTAAACATACTGAACGGTTTCGGCCCCCAATTACATTCTCTGTTCTCCAACAGAATAATAAATGGACCTTGCCTGCAATGATTGGCTTATCTTGGGTAAAAAAGCTAAAAACCTCTGATCTACCAAAAATCGATCCAGCCTCTCAAAAGTGGGAACTTCCCTATTGTTGCACCATGTAAATCGACCTTCAGATAGAGGCAAATCAAACAAATTCGCCTTACTCACAAAATCTCTGAAAATATTCATTGATACCGAATTCACAACACCTCCTTTTTTCTCTTCCTTTGACAAAACAACATTGAAATCTCCTCCTAAGCACACTGGGCTGTTAGCATTTTCCAAAAATGATAATAACTCCCTAAAAAACATCTCCTTATCTGCGTCCACACTCGGACCATACACATTAATGAAACAACAAATTCCTGGTAATCCTTCCATAATCCCTTTTATTGCTACAAATCTCTTATTAATGACTTCTTCCTTCACCTCAAGCTCCTTCTGATACCACAAGGTTATTAATCCACCAGCAGAACCTACAGCAGGAGCTACTATCGAACCAGTCAGAATTTTTCCTCCCATTTTCCTCACTAACATATGATTGACAACTTCCAATTTAGATTCTTGTAAAAATAAAATTATAGGTTTTTCTCATCAGTAAACCTCCTAATAGCTCGAGCTTTAACCCTCTTAGCCAAACCTATAACATTCCAAGACATTATCGACCACTCAACCATCATTATCATACCAAAACCTTACTTCCCTGTTCCAATTACCGTCCCTCATTCAAATTTCTCTCATTAACCAGAGGAACCACTTTTGTCATGAAAGTTTTCTCACCTCCTTTGAACTTAACACCCAACAATTTGGAAACATTCCAACATTCCAATGCCTCTGCCACCCCCCTCTCTCATTTGCTGTAAAGAAATCAGACTCCTTACCATTGCAACTCTTAATTTCCCACCTCCTAGAATAAACATTCTTATAAAAACCTCTCTCAACTTTACTAACCGACGCACTCTTCCTAGTATGTCGATGCAGTGTCGGGGAGACAGACCCGTTCTGCAAGTTTAAAGTAGCTTGTTCAACATTTTTCACTTCTACAGACTTATTACCAACTCTATTTGATCTCAAACTGCCCTGATCAGGCCCACTCACTTCTATCCTACCCATGCTGATATTAAGCCCATTATCTTGGTCAACCTTATCATGCCCCGAATCATGCCCCGAGGTGCCACCTCCCATGCTCATCTCCTTTTCTCTCCCTTCATTAAAAACCTCCGACACTCTCTGCTGACTGGGGACATCACCTATTGTTGTCTCCTTATAACAAAAGTCAACAGCCAAATTTTTTTTTATCCTACTTTTCCTTTCAAACTCCCATCGATAAACGTGCCACCCCCTTGTTGAGCATCCCGAACCCATGCTTCTACCCTGTTCTGAGAGTCTGACAAAGTCTGCTTACCCAACTGTCCTTCTTGACCTTCCTGATCATCCCGTTGGCTCTAGTCCGATGAATTCTCCTCCCAAGGATCCACTGTTCCGTCTTCTTCAACCACATCATCCAACCAGGAAAAAAATCTTCACTCCCTTCCACCTTAATCTTAATAATAAACGATCTTCTATAAGTATTAATGGTGACATGGGAAGGTATATCGAAAGGACTCTCCACCCTCAACAACATATGTGCTACTCTTTGAACTGTTTGCTCCTGGATTTTCACTAGCTTGCCCCATCTCGATGCCAAACTTGTGAAGAATGGAACCGACCAGCAGTTTAATGGAACACCTAACATGGAAACTGCACAGTAAGCTAATGAACACATTTCTCATCCATAACAGACTCCAGCCTTTCGAACCAGAAGGACAATGCCTCCCACTTATCTTCCATCGCTGCTTCTTTCTCCTCCACTGTCTGAAAGACTATCAAACAGGTGTTTTTTGCATAACCCCACATTACCACGTTGACATTGAATCCCTCATTCCTTAATTCCCTCTGCACAAAGTCAACTCGAAAATCGCCTTACAAATGCCTGTTAAAGACGATCTCAGCCATGTCTTTTCCTCCATTGGAATAAAAACTTCTAGAGGCTTTTTCACCTCCCTTTTATCTCCAAAGTTGCTCATTTGCTGGCCCTCAACTTTTTTCACCCCACTACCGTATCCTTATATGTCCTACCGACATGAAACTTGCTCAATAGCTCCTTCTTCCCAACATCATCAACTGGGGATATTGATCTTTTCCCTTTCGACTCCTCTGCGCCTGCATCTCTAGACCCCACCACGCTATTACGCTTCATGCTCCTCGTAGCACTATTCTTCTGATATTTCGCAATCGACACCGTTATTCTCCTTCCATCGACCAAGACGTTGCTCATCCTTTCCATTGCATTAAGCAAATCCTCCTTGCTTGCAAAATGCACAAAAGCAAACGTACTGTCCTTGTAGTTAGGTCTCCTATTAACAAACAGAAGGAACACCTTAATCACCTTGCCATGATAACTAAATGTTCCCATAAAGCACTTCTATGCACTGTCCTACTGAGATTATCTACGAATTCTACCCACGTTACTCCTCCAGGCACCACTCTACCTCTGCCTGAAGAACTGTTATCTTTTCAACTCCTCGCTCACTCTCTCTCTAACTCTCTCACTCATGTTATCTTTTTATTTTGTTGCTTCATGCTGTTTTTATTTGAGGGTTTTTTTCAATGGGATTGTTCCTCATGGTTAACAACATAAGTAATTCATTTTCCCATAAATTTGGATTTGACAATGATTCCTTCTTTCTGTTTTTTTGGATAAAATGCCTTTGAGCAATTAATGTTGCTTGTTAATTCATGCTTTTATATCAGAGAACTTATTTTATTTTTATTTTCTTCCAGTTTGATTTTTGTTTTCGAAATTCCATTTGAGATCTCTTACTTTTTGCTGGTTCCAGAAGCTTTGCAATTCATGCAATGGATCTAGATTAGTGAAAGGACAAAAAACAGTCAAATTGGACATAATGCCAGGTACTTACAATGTTAATGTCTATTGGTGTTTGCTTTGGTAATGGTTTAACTTGCCATATCCTGCATTATATGATTCATGGGGATATCTGTTGAGTCTCATGCAATGTGGATACGTGTGTCCCTTTAAGCCAAAAAATCGTATGCGGATCTGAACTGAAGGCATGGAAACTTGCATCTAATGAGTAGGTTGAGCAAATTATAAACCTATAAATGCTGCCTTTGATAGTTTCAAAAACATTTTCTTTTCGCCTTTGATATGGGAACCAGAGAAAGTGCAGTTACTGATACCTTTCGTCATGTTTTATTTATTCATCTTTTTCATGCTTGTTGACTATAACAGTGCATTGGAAAATCGCATTTTCATTTTCAATGTCGGAAATAAAAACAACAAAGTGGTGTCATTATGATCCTTTTTCACATCTATTATCGAAATGCACGGTCTTCTAGGTTTTTTTTATCATATGATTTACTCAAGGTTATATCCTGTTTTCAGGGGTGGATAACAATGAAACTTTGAAGGTTTATGGAAGTGGTGGAGCTGATCCTGATGGAACTCATCCCGGGGATCTTTATGTAACCATTAAGGTAACCAGTTTAGTCCTTGTCTGATATTTTGACCGTTTGCATAGCTTCAAGCAAAGGAAATAATTGTAAAATTTGAGTCTTCTAAAAACAATTTATTTGTAATCTCAATACATGCTTGTTTAAGAAATGGAATAAAATTATAGAAGATATTGAATTTTTTAAGTGTGTTTTTCTTAGCTTATTTCAAAAATGGCTAATGGTGGGTGAACTTGGCATCGACAATTTTAAAACTAGGCTTTAATAGACTTAAAAGAATGGTGATCAAATTTGACACAGTATATAGTAAGCCTTAGTTCATGCCATTGACAGAATCTGGCTATGCTTCAATTCTGGAAACAATAGTAAAGCAGTCAATATGATGTGTGCTGCAGGCTGGTTGTTTCGGATAGTTGTGATAGAAAATATGAATTAAAATTATCGGCTTTTTTTGCGTTGTGTATTGTTTCTACTTAGGAAGTTAAATCAACTAGATTGACGCTCTTACACCCCCCCTCTTCTACTGCCTTCTTGTTAGGTAACTGTTCTTGGTCTTTTACCCTTGCAGTTGGGCAATGGGTGTCTTTATTTTCATTTCTTAAAGATCATTGTCTCCATTGATCATGTTTATATTTGCAGGTCCGGCAAGACCCTGTTTTTCGTAGAGAAGGTGCCAATATTCATATAGATGCTGTTTTGAATGTTGCTCTGGTAGAACTGGAATTTTAATATTCTTCAAACAACCTATTAAGTGCCTCACACGTTGAGATATTGAACAATGCCTATATTTGATAGCACAATTCACGTAATTGCTCGTCTTCCATGGGATGTTTCTCTGATTTAAATGTTCATACAGTACCAAACAACTATTTTAGCTTTTATCAGCGTGCGTTTCTTTTGTTAGAGGTTTCTAAGTACTGGCAAATGGTTTTAACAAATCTAGGATCATATCCTATTCCTGTTGTTTGCTTCAGTATGCCTTTTGTATATGTCCTCCTGGTGAAGCTGGTACTTCTATCTGATTTATCTGACTTAATTTGAAAATTTTCCCTTGTTTTTTTTGCAGGCAACCTTGGGAGGAACCATCCAGTTCCCAACACTTACTGGTGATGTGCTTAAGGTTTGTTGGATCGAGTATAATTGGTTTAAAAGCATAGGAACTGGTCTTTAATCATTTCTTGTAGTTATAGCGAATGCTTATTTGGCTGAATGAATCTATGTTGTTTTCACTTTTCAATTTGCAGGTCCGCCCTGGCACTCAACCTGGCCAGAAGGTGGTTTTGAAGAATAAAGGTGGGGGGGGAAATCTGGGGATCAGATAAGCTATATTTGATTTATTTTTAAGTTGATATAAAAAAATATCATCGATCTGTTAATCAGTAATCTTAACTTAATTTTTTGAAAATGCCTTCCTCATTATAGAAATAAAGGGCCTCATTTATAAATAAGTATGGTTTTCGCCCTCTGATAGTAGTTGATTTTAGTTTGCACTCTCTTTGATACAATTTATGTATGATTGTTAACAGGAATCAAAACAAGGAACTCATACTCATTTGGTGATCAATACGTGCACTTCAAGGTTAGCATTCCAAAGTAAGTGTTATATGCCAAAAATATATCTTAAGTTGTTCCATCATCCGATACGTGTTTTTATTGTACTAGAGTCTAGAGCATATTCGAAATTGAAAGAGAATCAATTGATTTACTTGTAAAATCAATATAACTTCAAAAACACCGGTTATTACTGATAATGTTCCATTTCTTTTATCTTTGTGCCAAACCCAGCAAAAAGGAAATGACTGTTGATCACTGAGGTCTCTTCTTCAGCCAGATGCTCCAGCTGCGCGCTTATCATCTTCAGCTTGCTCTTCTCCATCAAACTCTTCGATTAATATGTGTTGTCTTGGCGTCAGATTCCTGTACATAAATCAATTGATTCTCTTTACATAGCAGATCAGTCGTTCATGGAAAGAAAGTAGAGATTCTGAGCATGTCATTAGCAGTTGTAAAGATTGCAATATGTATACCGCTATACTTTCAGAACAACAAATGTGTTGTTGAAAGTATTAACTGATCAATTGTTCAAGGAAAAGAGAAAGGATAGATACTAATAAGTCATTAACAACTTTTATAGCTGAAAAATACACCATCGAAGAATAAAGAAATATGAGAATGAAGTAAGAACATCAAGCAAAGACAGACTCTGAGCATTAGACAAAAATACCACTAAGCTGTATTATATGGATTTTCATTTCAATCTTCATGAGGTAAAGTCTTAAATTTGGTGTATCAACATAGTTTCATATTATGGTGATTGGAGAAATCACAGCCTTCATCCAATTCACTCTTCAGTTGACATGTTTTCTTGGAGATCACCATTATATCTTCACACTGATCCAATAAGATCTTTATTTTATTTCTGCATCATCTGTAGAAAACCTTTGCCTATTGTTGATATCTTATTCTGTTTCAAATATTTTCTTTTGTATGAACACAAGATAATTTCTAAGAATCTTTAGCAATCATTCCTCCCTCCTTTGCAAGATTACAAAATATATTTTCTGTAGTCTTGCATCATCACACCAAAGAAACTTATAAAACTTACTCAAAATTTGGAGGTTAGTTTCTTTAGCATGGGGCACCAATCGTGAGGGCTGTCTGTCAATGAATTGGACTCCTCCACTAAGAATACATTTATCTGCTCTACCAATCTTTCGACGTTTTCATTGAAGGATGATCATAGCAACAAGCAATTACTTGAATTTGTGTTCGTGCAAGTGTATTTGAGACTCATTAATGAAAATTTTTAATATTGGGAAGGAATGAGTCATTGGAGATAAAAAAAAATAGTTTGTATATGTAAAGAAGATACACAATGCTCCAAGAATGTGTTCATTTCATGTCTTTTATGAATATGGCAGTAGGCAGTAGGCAGCAGGTTGGAAGGATCGAAAGGAAAAACACACAGAAAGACAACAAGATAAAAATATATATAGAATAAAATATGCGTTTAGTACCTAAACTTTCAATTTTTTTCAAAAGCATACCTAACGTTTAGTTTTTGTTTCGTTTTAATATTCCTTCGTTAAAAACTTAACGCGTTTAGTACATAAACTATCAGTTTTGATCCGTTTTAATATTTTAACTTTTAGTTTTTTTTAAAACTCGACGTTAAGTTTTTAACGGGAGTACTAAAATGAAATAAAAACTAAATGTTAGGTATAGTTTAAAAAAAATAAAAATTTAAATATTAAAACAGACTAAAACTAATAGTTTATGTACTAAATACGCAATTTACTTAAAAATATAAGAGAGCTTGTGAAGTAAATGGTTTGTAGTTTCAGTAAATGGATGATACAAATGAGGAGAGAAAGACTATTTATATTTGATTCCTCTTACAATGACCGATATAAATCAATTTACATAAGCGATTAAGATTAAAACTCACCTACTACAAAATATCTTTTGAAATATTCTTCAGAAAGATGACATCTATTTTTTAACTATGATTGTCATCTCTTTAGCTAGGGTTTAAGCTCTAACTACGGATTAAGTGAACAGGCCTTTTAACGTATGGGGAAAACTCGAGTCTGAATAAAAAAGGTGAAATTTTAAAAATAAAGATCTTAATTAAATGTTAAAATAAAGCTAAAGAAATTAGAATAGTTAGATGAATGCGATTAAATGATTTGATAAGAGTTGCAAGATTGAAAAACACTAATAAAAAGGGTCTGAAACTGGCATTATGCTAACGGAAGTGAGACTAAGCTCAGAGATTGAAATATTGTTGATTTCTGAATAGAATTATTATTATGATTATTATTATTATTATTATTATTATTGGAGAGAACGATCATTAAATAAAATAAAATAAAAAGTTAATATTTTAAGTAATTATAAGATAATATATGTTTTAAATTTTTCTTAATCAATCATCGGTATACATTAAATGTAACATTTTAGATTTGGATATGTTAGAGAGAACGATCATTTTCATTATTTAAACCGCTCAATGAGTTCAGATACTGGGTTCTGATTATAAGTATTCTACTTACAGTCACTCACGAGAAGAATTGATTGGAATTCCCCCGCTGGACACTGCCTATTAGGTATAGAGACTATAGTCAAACATACCGGATAAAAGAAGAAAATAACTATATATACTTACATATGTGTGTATATATATATATTCGTGTCTCTTTCTCCAAACATGTAAACACACACTCACTGCATGTATATACAATAATACATAAACAAGCAACTCGCCGTGGCGACGCCAATGACTCTTGATGTCTGCAAAGAGGGGACCGGGGAATTGAAAAATGGAAGCAAAAGCCAGTTAATCTAACCCCCGAGCTCAAATTCAGACCCCGGTTCATCATCTTCATCTAAAGAATCAATGCCAAGTGCGCCATGACCGGGGCCAAAGGCCTTGATATGGTCTTTCAAAGACCTCTTGTGCTTGAAATCAGACCCACAGGTGCAATACCAAATCTTCCCACAGTTCTTCTCGTGTGTTCTCCAGTCTCCTTTCACCGCGAACGCCTTGTTGCATTTCCTGCAGGCGAAGGGCTTAACCCCGTGTTTCCGTTTATAGTGCGTTTGGAGGGTTCTGAAATCCTTTAGAGGCCTTGCTCTTGGATGCTCGATTTGGTGTTTGCAGCCCGGTGCACAGCAGTAACATGGGAGCCTTAGCATGGCTGTTGGCTGGCTTCCTCTAAGTGAGTCTGGTCCCTTTCTGTACTGTGATCCATGCCCCCACATATGCATCTGCACAATTTGAGAAGAAAGTTTTGGTAATTTTAACATGGCATGCCTTTGGTAATTGCAATAAATAACAATTACAGGTCTCTAATTTCGATGCTGGAGTGTCAGATTAATGCGATTTGTCTGTTTGGGATGCAAATCTAGGGTGTTTCCTTTTGCAGACTCGATAAATGACAAATCACTGGAGCATTCAGGTTAAAGACCACCTGATATCTGAAACCCTCCTGGAAAATCTCCACTCTTGAAAATTAACCTATAATTTGCACACTCTTCAAAATCCCAAGAAGTAAACATTAACATTTTCCAGGAAACATGACTACCCTAATGACCTAAACCTACCGAGTTGAGTTGAGTCTTCCCTGGTCGAACACGATGGATAAGTTTGCAAATAAGGCAAAAGGGTACTTAAAAAAAACGAAAGCTAATGTTAAACCTAGGCTCTGAGCCACTTAAGGCTAATGAATGGCAATCAAAGAGCGATGAAAAAAGAGGGAAATAAAGGAATTTTTTGCGGATCATGTCCCATGCAACGCGGCATACCTGCAGGTTATTGTGTCTGTTAAAGGTTTTGCAGCAGACATGACATGAAAACTGTGTCGGACCAACGAGAATCTGAGTAGGTGTAGGAATCCAGTACTGTCCCTTGCTTAATGGAAACCCAGAAACTGCACTATGAGCCGCCGGGGAGACCTCCCCAACCTTCAGATCGGAGGTAGGGCTAGGCAGCCCTATGTTTAGGGTTACAGTTTCAGCTTCATCGTCGGCCGCACCAGCGTTGGAGAACAACAGGCTCTTATCACCTTCCATGGAACTGCTTGAAGGTTCAGTCTCACTGCTCAGATAATTGATGAGAGGAAGAGCTTGTTTGCGAGGAGGTGAGCTTTGGGGTTCGATATTGGAAGATCTGTTTGTACCGAAACAAGTAGTATAGTGGGGATTTAGAGGTACGAAGTTGAAGCCTCCTCCGGTGAAGAGATTTGAACAAGGATCTGTCATGATTGTAAGATTGCCAAGAAAATAGAAGGAAATGAAGTGGGATTGACTGTAATCTGGCCACTGGAATGATGAAACACGCATTCATATATATAGATAACATAGATACATACATTCAAATATATGATTGTGTGGGAAGAGTAAATTTTGTCATTAATTACCTACCTAGCTAGCTAGGTGAAAGCTACAACTATAAAGGATAACTTAGATTTTAGGTAATTTAATCACTAGTTCGATTACAAATAAAACATATGTTTAAAAAATTATAATTTAGCCACTTAATTAAAAAAAATTATTATAAATAAATCATTTTGCCATTAAATTGAATCGGATGTCTAATGTAGTCCGGTACAATAACAGTTTTAGTTTTCAAAATTTATACTCCCTGTCCCATTAATTTTGTCTCATGTTGAGTCTATAATTTTAAGAGATAAATTTGACAACAAGTCAAGGTATATAAACAAGGGAAATGAAAAAATTATACTAAAATTTGATCGATAGATTTGACCGACATATTTTGATATAGGTGTAATAGAATGTGACAAATAAGGATAAAAATATATATAAATATTGTTATGTGTTGACTTTTTTAATAGGACATTTTGAATGAAATCATCTTAAAATCTAAAGAGGACAAATTTAATGGGACATAAGGAGTAAATCTTATCAATTTAATCACAATTCAAAAAATAATAATAAAGCTAACATTATGTTTGTCAATTTAATCTTTTTTTATGATGTTGTCAAACCAATTGAGTCCATCATATCAAGCGACATTTGAATAACTACATTATACCATAAAGAAACAATAACATATTTTTATAAGCCTTCCATCGATGAATATTATTCAATTATATAGTTGAACAAGTTCGACTTACACCTCACAAAGTACATGTGTAATCAAACTTATGACTCGAAAATAAGATTCGTTAACAAGTGATATAACATACATTCAATACTTCAAAAGCAACAACAAAACACGGAATAGGCTATCCTCTAAGGGTGCGTTTGGTTCACGGAATGTAAGATTACCAGTGGGAATAAAAGATTACCAGGGAATAAGATTATTGGGAATGTTGTATTTTGTGTTTGGTTGATTTAGCAGGAATGTAAGATTATCGTGTTTGGTTAAAGGAATAAAAGATTATTGAAATGTATAT